TTCATGCCTGGAACGAAAGAGATCTGGTCCATTGGTTCTTAAGGATCGGGTTCATCTTTTTTCTTGGGAATCATATGCCATTATTCAAGTTGGGGTAGTGATTTCACATGGAGGTCCTCTAAATTGGAGGGAGGGTGTGAGCAGAGGAAGGCTTTGTTAGGTTATCGCTAATCTCAACAGTAATTCGAAGGTAGAAATGGCAAAGAAGATCAAAAGCAGAAGTTTATTGATTATCGTTAAGAGAAGAATACAGTCCCAAGTCGTAAACAAAGTTCCGACTCCCAGTCCCAGTCCAATCCCAATTTCTGCCTGCCTATTCCTCCCCTTTTCCCCCCTTTTATACACTTTCTACTCTTAAGGGCCGGCCCATAATGAATTACATGGCCCAGAACATTTAGTTATACAATAACACTATTTAATAATACTCTATTATTCTTATTATTATTGGCTGTCCAAGTCCCTATCATATCTCCCCCCTTGAACAACCACCTTGTCCTCAAGGTGGGTGATAGGAAACAGCCTTGATCTGCAACTTCATCTTCTTTCTGGCACCTCTTCCTTCCCAATACATCCCGGGTTTGTGAATTTTTAACTTCAGTACTTGAAGCTGCATCTTATTTTTCTTTACTTCAAAATCGAGTAGAAACAAAGTCATGGTGGTAGAGTGCTCCCTTAGGTTGCAAAAGTTTGAATCTCCCACCAACTGTGTCTCTTCCCTATAGATTTCTCCATCAAACATGGTACTCCCATGTTGTGCTTGTATTTGAGTTATCTCTGGTATTTCTAGTTGGAATATTTTGAGCATTGGAAAACTCATTGGAGTTGGTTGCTCACGCCGTTGCATGCTGAAACTTTCATCAGGCAAGGCTAAAACGGAGCTTATGGAAGGTGAAAGCAACGAATTAAATATGTCAACAATCATATGCATCTGATGGTCAAGCACAAACACATGTTTTCCCATCCCCTGTGTCAATATTAGCAGTATTTCTGGAGTAAAGTTCATTACAGGGAACTGTTTAGAACAATCAAGGTGAGACTCGAAGGGGCTGTCAAACGTGCCAGTGAAGTACCTAACCCCAGCAGCTTCCTTTATCCCTACCCTTTGCTCAATCACCCCCTGACCATGAGTTGAAGCATCCAGGCAGTTTCCATTAGAACCCTGCTGATACAAATGTACAACCTGTCCTTTTCTGGCATCATATTTCAACATAGACACATAATCATATTTCTTCCCCAAAAGCATGTAATGAGTGCCACAGATAGCATAGAATGTGGATAGGTTTGACTTCCTTTTTAATATAGAAGATAAGTGTTTGTTTTCCAGCTCCCATACCATAGGGCCTTCCATGTTGTTCCCTCCAACTGCTTTCAGCATACCATCTGTGGTCTCCATAGTTAAGAACTGTTGAATAGGGTCAGAAGGATTCCAGTACATCATATCACCACCAAAGTACTGGTTATAATCCATACCAAGATAACCACGGACCTCTAATTTGTCTTCTGTGACCTGATAGTGGTGCAGTACCTTTTCAGCATCCCTGTTGTTAGCTACTTTCATGAGATCAGAATTATACCCGTGAACATAGCTCAAACTATCAAACCCTGCAGAGGAATTGTTTTGGTTTTGCATTTCAATTTTGTCCTCCTTTTTCTCAGACTTTGATTCATCCTCTTCTATTTCCCCAGTTTCCTCTATACTGACAGTTTCTGTAGAGCTTTCCCAAGTATTTGAACCAACAATTTTATCAACGCCAATTTTATATTCCATGGCAATGGATTGAATCACCACAGAAGTTTTCTCCTCTGGTTCCTCATCACCATTGATGAATGTATCTTCAGAGTTAGGTTGTCGCTGACTCACAGACTGCTGCGGGAATGAAACTGACTCAACTTGCGGACTGTGAGAAACGGAAGTATTGGATGAAACCTGCGGTGAGACCTGCGAACTGAGATAAGTCGCTCTTTGAGCCCTGCGAACTGAGACCTGCGAACTGGTAGGCACTGTGTGCGACTGCGAGTGCGATGATTTCCGGTTTTCTGTCTTCCGCCTGCGTGTAGGTTGGAATCTCCGAATTGTAGCTTCCTTCAGAACTTCCCAATTCTTTTTTCTAGTTTCAATTTCCCACCATTGGAACCAGTCTAACGCCCTTTCCTCCATTGTTTCTTCTGCTACTCTAACCTTATGTTTTTCCGCAATAGCGTTGAGTTGGAAGTATAGTTCCATCTTAATTATCCATCCGTACACCTCATCCCCATTGAATACTGGTAAATCTACTTTCCTTCCAGATTTCTCCATCCACTTGCTATAATCATTGTTTTGCCAAGAAGAGCGGTGATTACCTGAAGAAGACGAAGAAGATTCGCTAATGTCATGTCTCTTGCTTCGTTTTGTTGTTTTAGATCTTCCGCGCGACTGGCTCTCACTCCGCTGCAGTAACTCGCGCAACTCATCGCGAGTTCGCTGAGCTTCTTCGCGCATCCCTTCAGATAAAGATGAGTCGCCACTGTCAGTTCTCGCACTTTTTCTGGATGTTTTTGATCTTTCGCGTGATTTGCGATCATTCCGCTGCAGAATGAATTCGCGTAACTCTTCTCTATTTCGTTTGGCTTCTTCGCGATTCTTCTCCAATTGGCGCACCATGTTCTCGCGATTCTTCTCCAATTGGCGCACCATGCTCTGATACCAATGTTAGGTTATCGCTAATCTCAACAGTAATTCGAAGGTAGAAATGGCAAAGAAGATCAAAAGCAGAAGTTTATTGATTATCGTTAAGAGAAGAATACAGTCCCAAGTCGTAAACAAAGTTCTGACTCCCAGTCCCAGTCCAATCCCAATTTCTGCCTGCCTATTCCTCCCCTTTTCCCCCCTTTTATACACTTTCTACTCTTAAGGGCCGGCCCATACCCTGAATTACATGGCCCAGAACATTTAGTTATACAATAACACTATTTAATAATACTCTATTATTCTTATTATTATTGGCTGTCCAAGTCCCTATCAGGCTTGCTATTGCTGACAAAGGGGCTGAAATAGCAGTACCTAATCAGAAATTGATTGCTGAGAAGCATCTTATCACCATGTTTCAAGCAATTTTGAAACCCAAAATTGAAGAGGGACTTTCTAACCATTATAATTCAAGGGATCATCAATACTATTCCCCAGTTGTTTCCTTTGTTCTTGTGAATCTGAAGGAAAGGGCTTCGGCTCATTGTTACCTGGTTGCCTTGAGAAATAACGTTTACGCAGAATTCTTTCTCGTTGATTTTTCTGTGAACTGTTTGTAGAATCGCAGGGTTCTAACACTAACCGGCTGGTCTTTTAGGAGTGAGTTCTACACATGGGCTTATGGAACTCATATGGGCCTAGTATGGGCTAGGTCCTTAACAGGAGGAAATGCTAAAACTAATTACTCAACAGAAATATTGGGGCCAAAATACCCTTGCGTATAAAGAATATAGAGGAGAAGCTTTGAATATATTTCTGCATACTTCACAGATTTACTTGAGCTCCTATTTTTACAAGAACTAAGGTATGAAAACATGAAACCACTGCAACTGATGTGTGACAATCAAGCTGCAATGCACATAACATCTAATTTGAGAGAACAAAATATATTGAGGCTGATTGTCACTTCCTCCGAGAAAAGTGTTTAAATGGACAAATTATTACAAGTTATGTGAGCAGGAGAAGTATTCTTTTCGAGGTCCTAGAATAGAATACATTTGTAACAAGCTTGGTGCATATAGTTATATGTTTCAGCTTGAGGGGAAGTGTTGAAACCCTAACCCTAGTTGCATTGCGCTCAGCCTACTTTGTGTAGTTAGCCCTAGTTGTAGCTATAAGTATGTCTATTCTTGTATTCCTTTAAATCATCATAAAAAATGAGTCCTATTTCACACTCACTATGATTTGTTGCCTTCCCTTCATTGCCCATAAAAAAGAAGGAAAAGAACAAGCTGGAGGAGGGAATTCAAGCGCATAGAGGTGAGGCATTTCCCTCACGTGCCACCTCTGATCACTTTTCATCCTCTGCGGCTCTATTCATATATCCTTCAGTTCACTTCCCATCAGTTCCCATAATAAAGAAGGGGGAACGTAACTTAGTGCTTCTTGTCATTAGAACTGAAAAGGGGAATACTAGACTGAAGAACTTAAAGCACTTCCCAAACTCATCATGCTTTCTAATGAGAAATAGGCCAGTCAGTGACAGCTGAAGTGCTGATCTGCTTTACTTAGTAGTGGTCCGTTTTGCTTCCTAGCGCAAGAAGGTAGAGCTCCTTTTCATTCCTAATGAAGACATGGAAGTAGTGGAAGGGAGCAAACTGCCCATCCATTGAATCATTGAAAGTGAGAAATATTTTAGTGGTATTGCCCAATGGCCATGGAGCAGGTCTGTAATCAGATCATAATTTCACCATGGAAGACAACAAGAGAGAAGCACAATGAATCGTGGGGAGAGATAGGACATCTTTCTTGCACCATTGAAGGATTGAGGAAGAAACCTCCAAAGATGAGATGGTATGTCTGAATGGTCTCTTAAGAGATTAGCATGGATGGAAACAAAATAAAAATACTGCGATAAGGATTATGATTGATATGTAAGGGATTATTAGTCAGCAAAAATAATGAACTACTAATTATTGGTCTTCTTTATTTATTATCAACTAAGCATTATTTTTTAGAACAAAAAGATGAAGAGCGTTTTAGGTAAAGTGGTATGTTTTAGTCATATTTTTGGCAATAATCTCTTATTTAAGTGTCTTCTCTTCGATGTATTCAGTAGACCCGGTTCTAATGGAAGACCTTTCTCTTTGCTTTTGCCTTGCGGTAGTATGGTATTTAAGCTTTTACAAATTAGAGTGTGCCCTACACACTCTCTATATACATGCTATGCTGATTTGTATTGTTTCTTCACCTATGCTTAAAACTCATCTAAGTATGGATATGAGTTTGTATGTGAGTATGTCAAATGACTCACACCAAAAACATATGCGTATAGGACACATGGAGGCAGCATGTTACCGGAGGAAAGCTCAGAGAGATAACTGAGGAAGCCAAAAGCTTTGCAGTTGGAAACAAGGCTCTTGCTGCTCTTTTTGTTCATACTCCTGCGGGAGAGCTGCAGCGTCAAATCAGAAATTGGCTTAGAGAGAACTTTGATTTTCTTTCTGTTAGTGATGACACAGTTGGCGAAGCTACCGGTCAGCTAGATCTTCTTTCTACTGCAATAATGGATGGCTGGATGGCTGGACTTGGTGCTGCAATGCCACCCGATACTGATGCCCTGGGTCAGCTTTTGTCCGAATATGTAAAGAGAGTTTTTAGTTCTCAGCTTCAGCACTTAAAGGTACTTTCAGATATTTAATTTTTGTACTTACGAATAAGACGTGTCATCCATACCAAGCACCCTTGTACTTTCATACTTGATAAATGCATTCCATATGTTATAGTAAGTTGCTCCAATGATGCTGTTGCGCCTTTGTCATAAATCCTACTTGTCTATTGACAACATAGATACTCACTCTAGTTTATGTTTTCTGATATGCGTCCATTTGACATTTTCCCCTTCTGTGATATTAACTTCTGTTTTTGCTTCCATAACAGGACATGGCAGGCACCCTGTCAACAGAGGTGACAGTAGACTCTGCGCAAGTGGCTAAGCTGCATTCAGCTTTAGAATCAGTTCATCACAAGCGAACGAAGGTAAGAGTTTGTGCTCGGATGGTGAATGGTGTTTGGCGTTCGCTTCTCCTTGAGTACTAATTTCGAAGGGGCATACGTAACCTAATATGCAATCTTTAACTCAAAGAACTCAAGATTGAACTCTTGAGTCGGTCATTATAATAGGAATACCAAGGAATGACATTTGGTGCCTGTTAGAATATACATATTTAATAGTCAATATATTCTATGTATATATATGGTAGCTAATATATTCTCTGCGATAGACTAAATATTCTAGGTAAATCTGACAGATTTAGTTTCCTTTTTGTATTCCCTAGCTTGTATGTATTTATACTGGCCATACCTAATGATAATTGTGAGTGATTTCATTGCATCTTTAATTCTTATTACTCAGTTTACATGGTATCAGAGCCACACAGGTTCTTCCGGTAGTACTTCCCGAAGTTCAACTCTGCTCCCTCCCTCTGGTTCGATTCAGCTCTCTTTTGTGCGGCACAGGACGTTGTTCGCAGGCGCAGGCGTGGTAATCCGGATAGTGCAGAACAATTGTCGCAGGTCTGATTTTCTGGACACTATCTTTACTATTTGCACCAGTTCTCTTACCCTGTTCTTGTTATCACTCTTGCCCTAGTTGTTTGCAAGCATGGGTGATGATAAGAAGAGTGTGACTGAGATTACTGTCGGTAATGCTAGAATTACCAAGAGAAAACTGACTGGTAGTAAAGATTACGGGCAGTGGAAACGGACTATTACTAGATACGTTAATAGTCTTGATCTGGGAGATCATCTAACTGAAATGGCTCCTCCAAGAAGTAATCCTGATGAAAGAAAAAAATGGATGATGGCGGATGATAGGTTGTTCAATCAAATTCAGAATACCTTGGATCCTTCTATTGATAGTATCATTACTCATTGTGATACTGTCAAAGAAATGTGGGAATACTTGGAGTCTATGTATGCCAGTAAACAAGATCTCTCTTATGTTCATCAATTACTGGTGCACTACTATAGACCGGAGATGAGGGATCAGACGCTGTTTCAATACTATAATGAATGTAAACAGATTTTTGAGGAAAAGCGGTCCCGATTCCCTATTACTGTTGATGTTAAGAGTATGCAAGAACAAGAGCAGCGAACATTTGTTCATGGTGTTTTGGCTGGGCTTGGTCCACAATATGAGGTATCAAGGAGTCAAATACTGTCTGGTGGGACCCTTCCTAGTTTTTCTGACCTCTATGGACGTCTCCTTCCAGTGTGCAAAGTTGGAGAATCCAGAATGATGAACTCAATTGATACTGCTGCCTTAGTCAGTGATGTGAGCCATGGTAAAAGGACCAATTCAGTCACTACTGAAGGGACTCGTAATTCTTCTCGCACATGTTATCACTGTGGAGCTGAGGGTCATGTGAAGAAGAATTGCTGGAAATTACATGGTCGTCCACCACAGACTTCTGGACAGTTTCCTCCCAGGCGTGTTGCTAATACGGTTATCCAGGATGGTATCCTACCAACTCCTTCCACTGTTACTATCTCAGTCGATGAATATGCTCGGCTACAACAACTTTCTCTCACAGCCTCATCTGCCACCACACAAGTTGATACAGGTAATCCAGCTGCATGCCTCTCTACATCATCACGCAATTGGGTGATCGATTCTGGCGCAACGGACCATATGACTGGTAATGAAAGTATTTTGGATTCATTTACCTCTTCTGCTAACCAGTCTCATGTTACTTTAGCAAATGGATCAACCGCATCTGTCAATGGCCTTGGAACAACAACTCTTTCTCCAAACCTTTCTCTATCTTCTGTTCTATATTTATCTCAATTTCCGTTTAATTTAATCTCAGTCAGTCAGATTACTAAAGCCCTAAACTGCCGTGTTATTTTCTTTCCCACTCATTGTCTTTTTCAGGATCTTGGGACGAAGCAGATTATTGGTAAAGGTAGACTGGTTAATGGCTTATATGTTTTTGAATCCTTGGTGCCGAGATCAGTTGCATGCACAAGTTCGTCTCTGTTGAAAGTTCACTGTCAATTTGGTCATCCGTCTCTTTCTGTACTACAAAAAATGTGTCCTAGTCTATCACGGGAGTCTGTTTTGGAGTGTGAAGCATGTGAGTATGCTAAGCATCATAGAACAAATTTCCCTCCTCGAATAAATAAAAGTGTTGAGTCTAGTTTTGATTTAGTTCACACTGATGTGTGGGGTCCTTGTCCTGTCGTTTCCAAACTTGGTCATCGTTATTTTGTTACATTTGTGGATGATTTTTCACGGGTTACTTGGCTTTATCCTTTGAAATCCCGATCAGATGTGTTTACTGCATTTTGTACCTTTCATGCTGAAATTCAAACTCAATTTAATAAGAATATACGCATTCTGAGAAGTGATAATGCTAAAGACTATCTATCTAGCACTTTTCAGACTTACTTATCTCGCCATGGGATTTTACACCACACTTCTTGTCCCTATACACCTCAACAAAATGGTGTAGCTGAACGAAAGAATCGTCACCTACTAGAAGTAGCTCGAGCCTTAATATTTCACATGGGGGTTCCTAAACCATTTTGGGTAGACGCTGTTTCCACTGCGTGTTACCTTATCAATCGTATGCCTTCCTCTGTTCTTAATGGTCAGATTTCGTACTCCGTTTTATTCCCCTCTCAGTCTTTGTTCTCTCTTGTGCCTCGTGTGTTTGGTTGCACATGCTTTGTCCAGGATATGCGTTCCCAGGTCTCAAAACTTGATCCTAAATCAATCAAGTGTGTTTTTCTGGGTTATTCCCGGTTACAAAAAGGATATCGATGTTATTCTCCTTCATTGGGACGGTATATTATCTCTCCAGATGTCACATTTTTTGAAGAAACACCCTTCTTTCAGCATAGTTCATCTTCATCATCTTCTTTGGAACTCTCTAATGATGAGTTTCTAGTCTATACCACCAGCCAGCTAGAATCTGTCCCCCCCAATCAGACTTCTCCATCAACTTTCCTTCCTCCTCCACCTCCTCCCCTTAAAGTTTACTCTCGTCGTGTGCGCCATGTGACTACGGCACCTACTATGGCTACCAGTGTACCGCTGCCATCTTCTGCTTCGCCTCCAGATTCTGCTCCCTCCGACCTTGATCTCCCAATCGCCCTCCGAAAAGGTACTCGTACTTGTACTTATCCTGTTTCTTCCTTTGTTACTTATAATACATTGTCATCTTCTTCCAAGAGCTTTATTGCTTCTTTAGATTCTATTGTTGTTCCTTCAACTGTTTCTGAGGCCTTGACTCATCCTGGTTGGCACGAGGCAATGCGAGAGGAGATAATGGATCTCGACCAGAACCACACATGGGACCTTGTATATCTTCCACCCGATAAGAAAGCTATTGGGTGTAAATGGGTGTTCACTGTCAAAATGAATCCTGATGGTTCGGTTGCTCGTTTAAAGGCACGGTTAGTAGCTAAGGGTTATGCTCAAGCATATGGTATAGATTACTTTGACACCTTCTCTCCTGTTTCCAAACTTACATCCATTCGATTATTTATCTCTTTGGCTGCTACTTACAATTGGACACTCCATCAACTTGATATTAAAAATGCCTTTTTGAATGGTGACCTTAGCGAGGAAGTGTACATGGAGCAACCACCAGGGTTTCTTGCTCAGGGGAGTCTGGAAAGGTATGTAAATTAAGGAAATCGTTGTATGGTCTGAAACAATCCCCACGAGCTTGGTTTGGCCGTTTCAGTGCTGCAATATTTAAATTTGGCCTACGCAGGAGTGCCTATGATCACTCAGTTTTCTTCTCTACCTCAAATTCTGGATGCATTCTATTAGTTGTGTATGTTGATGACATCGTGATCACTGGCAGTGATGCGAGTCGTATTTTGAAACTGAAAGCTTTCCTTTCTACTTGCTTTCAGACCAAAGATCTTGGGCCCTTGAAGTACTTCTTAGGGATAGAAGTCTCACGTAGTAACAAGGGAATTTACTTGTCTCAAAGAAAATACTGCCTAGATGTGCTAAATGATGCAGGTTTGGTTGAGGCAAAACCGTGTGATGCTCCGATGATCCCAAATGTAAAGTTAACAGCTGATGAAGGCGACTTGCTGGAAAATCCTGAGGTATACCGAAGGATTGTTGGGAAACTGAATTATTTGACTATCACCCGGCCTGATATTGCTTTCCCGGTTAGTGTAGTCAGTCAGTTTCTATCCACTCCACGAACATCACACTGGGATGCAGTTACTCATATCCTAAGATACTTGAAGGGGGCTCCAGGGCGTGGGATACTATATCAAAACCACGGACATCATGTTATTGAAGGGTTTACTGATGCGGATTATGCTGGAAACCCTAATGACCGACATTCCACCACTGGTTACTGTGTCTTTGTTGGAGGAAACCTTGTATCTTGGAAAAGTAAGAAGCAAAATGTTGTTTCTAGATCAAGTGCAGAATCTGAATATCGAGCTATGGCACAAACTACATGTGATCTGGTTTGGCTTCACCATTTGCTTGGTGAACTTGGATTTACTCAAACAGAACCCATGAGATTATGGTGTGATAATCAAGCGGCTATCCATATAGCAAATAATCCTGTTTTTCATGAAAGAACAAAACACATCGAAGTTGATTGTCACTTTACTCGAGAAAAGGTAGAAGATGGTACAATTTGCACTTCACACATCAAAACAGGAAACCAACTGGCAGATGTGTTCACCAAGGCTCTACCGGGGACACGTATCAATTTTATCTGTACCAAGCTGGGCATGATTAATATCTATGCTCCAGCTTGAGGGGGAGTGTTAGAATATACATATTTAATAGTCAATATATTCTATGTATATATATGGTAGCTAATATATTCTCTGCGATAGACTAAATATTCTAGGTAAATCTGACAGATTTAGTTTCCTTTTTGTATTCCCTAGCTTGTATGTATTTATACTGGCCATACCTAATGATAATTGTGAGTGATTTCATTGCATCTTTAATTCTTATTACTCAGTTTACAGTGCCTATTTGGTGTAACATACTCTCACCATGTATTTGTTTGTCAGCCTTTTCTGATTCAAAGTACTTATAAGAGCATTGGCTTAATGAACATAGAATAAAATTAATACTACAACAACAACATCGAAACCTTAGTCCCAAATTAATTTGGGGTCAGCTAACATGAACCAATCTATGAAAACAGAGCTAAATAAGATAAATAGATAAAAATATAAGATAAGATAAAGATAAGATAAAAAGGAATAAGAAAGAAAACAATAAAAAAAATAAAATGAGATCAATCCACCACACATATACTCTCCTTTTCAGAAGTTATTTGGGGATTCCCATAGAAGACAAAGGACACAAGACTCCTGGAAGAGTCAGGGGTCGTGCTGCTTGCAGGAGACATGATGTACACTAACTTGGGCACAATCAGGAATGACTAGGACTTCTATTCCTAGGCCAGCAGACCAGTCTCGATGAAGATTGGGACGACTAGGGCAAGTGAGGATCAGACTCTGATACCAACTTGAATTTCCTGATTTGAATGAATTTGCTTGAGAGAAACTACTCTCGGCTGATCTTTATTTATCATCATCATCATCATCATTATCATTACCGCAATGGGGTAAGGGATTAAGGGGGGTCAGATGTACGAAGCCTTACCCCTGTACTAAAGCACAGAGAGGCTGTTTCCAGACGAACCATATGAAAGTTGCGTCGAAAATTACATGGACCGACTGCTGCTTCATGACAAAGAAGCGCAGATAGTTTAGTGAGTCATTTTGCTTTATTCCATCATATTTCAAGCCAAAAAATAGTGAGTCTTTGGGTAAGGTTCGAAATTACAAGGAAAGAATCATATGTACATCAATCAATTACTAACTCCTGGTTGGATACAATATGTACAATAAATGCTAAAATCAGGAAGGAAATCACTTAGAGTCATATCAAATCTCAACACATGTCATATAATGTGACTAAGTTATACCGTTGCCCGTCATGCCCCTACCACAACACCCATCTTTTATCCTGGCCTGGGACACACATCATATTAAAAAATGAATGAAATAAGTTGAATTGACTCAATGGTATGATGTGCGATTACCTTGTGTTTATCAATGTGTATGATTTCAGTGTACTAAAAGGTGGCCCATTTGGGCATAGGCTGGACGAGTTTGAATTAACATGCCATATGAGCTGTAGATGAATTGTCTTACTACTTGAATTGCGCCTTGTTGCTAGGTCCCACCTAATATATTCAGTCAGTTTGATTTTTTTGAGAAGTCTCTAGGACCCAAACGATCACATTTTGCAATAAATTCATAATAAATGTCTTGTCGTTTGAGTTCTATATCAGGTGGTGATGGATTGCTATTTCAACTATTCGGATTTTAACTGTCTCCAGAGTATAGAGTTAAAAAGTTTAGCTGTTTCAGAGATAACATGTATAATAATTTTATATTTTCTAGGTTGTGGTTATTCCTCACCTAAACCCCTAGTGCCTTTTAAGAACATTGTATTGTGTAAAAATATCATTATCCTGGTGTCAATACTTGATACAATGAGGTGGTAGGTATAATAAGTTGGTAAGACTCTAAGAGTATTCTTCTTAGCGAAGTGATTGAAGAGCTATAACATATAACTATATGCTTTTAATTAGATTCTACAGCAAATGAGAAGGGATGTGGCATTGTTTACATTAGATTCTCCAGTTCGAAGTCCTTCGACAGGAGCCGAAGATGCTCGACTTGCATCACTGGTTTCCCTTGATGGCATATTGAGACAAGTCAAGGTTTGCTCAGTTTTTTATAATTGTTGGCATCATTGTCTTTACTACTACTGTTAATAAAGTGGGGCTTTGGATGACAAAGAAATGAATACTCTGCGTTTCAATGTGGCAGGATATTTCAAGGCAATCACGTGTTAGCAGCCTTGGTAGAAGTAGGAAGAAAGAAATGATTGCATCTCTAGATGAGCTTACAGAACATATGCCTTCCTTACTTGACATTGATCATCCATGTGCTCAAAAGCACATTGAAGATGCACGGCGTATGTTGGAGGTATGTGCCAAAGCTACTAAGTAGTCGTGCCTTGATTTGTCTTGATATGATTTCAAGATGATTTTAACAACATTGCTAAGGTTTGATATTTTGTTTTTTTGTTCTAAAACAAAAAATCATGTTAACTAGGGACAGCCTGGCATTGGCTTTGGGTGGTGGGGTGGTATCGACTCTGGGATCTGATGTACTTGCATGTCCAATTAGGGCATGTAGGTGGTACTTTTTTAAAATTACTTGCACCTACCCTACCAGGCACCTTGGTAGGACTGTGTTCATCATAGGTTACTAATATCACATTATTACATGATCAATACATGGAGCTCTCAACATCTTCAGCCTTCAGTTTTCTGCTTTTGAAGTATCTATTCTTATGATTTGCTGCAGTCAATTCCTGAAGAGGATGACATTGTAAATGCTTCTTCGGAAAGGAGTGCAGATGATGCTGTGGAAGAAACTGAGGTGGCACAGTGGAACGTTCTTCAGTTTAACACAGGTTTAGCATCACCCCCTTTTATCATTAAATGTGGAGCGAACTCGAGTTCGGAATTGGTGGTAAAAGCGGATGCCCGAGTTCAAGAACCAAAAGGAAGTGAGATTATGAGAGTTGTTCCCAGACCAACTGTGCTTGAGAATATGAGCCTGGAGGAGATGAAACAGTTATTCACACTGCTTCCTGAGTCCCTAAGCCACCTAGCTCTTGCTAGGACAGCAGATGGAACCAGAGCTAGGTACTCCAGGTTATACAGGACGCTTGCCATGAAGGTTCCGGCATTGAGGGACCTCATAAGTGAACTAGAGAAGGGTGGAGTTCTGAGGGACGTGAGAAGTTAGAACCAGAGAAGGGGGTGTATTTGAATATAAATTCCCAGGTTGGGCCTTCTCGACTTGTGTCATGATTCCACATATTTTTAACCAATGTATACCAGTTTATGTATGTATGGTGAGCAAGTATATTATACTGCCCTCGTAAAATGCAATTGGTATAATATCTTCCTAACATGTACCATCGCCATTTGTATATATTCATGTTATTAGGGTTGAACTATGTTAATAGAAGTATTGTGGAATTGTTCATCTGGCGGTCCGAGACCGGGTGTGGACCCGAACCGGTGGGGGAAGAGGGGGCGGGCTTGGTTCCTGCAAAATGTGACCCGGCCGGGTCAGGCCCGGGTCCGGGTCACAACGGCTTTTTTTTTTAAAAAAAAAAAATTGGGCCAAAGATGACCGTTGGGGTGGGCTGGGGACAACCCAAACGGCTATATAGCCGTTGGGTGAGCTGCAGGGGGGTTCCGGGGGGGGGGGGGGGGGTGGGGGGTGGGGGGTGGGGGGGGGGGGGTGGGGTAAAAAAAACATGTAAATACTCCTAATTTTAAACATTTTTCCATCTCTTCTCTAATTCTTCCTAAATCCTACTCTTAACTGTCTACTCTCTAATTCTCTTATTCTCCAACATACTCCCTCCGTTTTACAATCTTTGACACAGTTTGACTTGTCAAGAATTAAGGAAAAAATGTTACTGAGGGGTAAATTTTACTGTAGAGTACACTGTTTGACACTGTTTGAACACTGTTTGGCACTGTTTGAACACTGTTTGACACTGTTTTGTACTGTTTTAGTAAAGATTTGTTTACCAAATAAGGAAATAAGGAAGTGTGTCATTGATTGTGAAACAGCAAAAAAAGCAAAGTGTGTCAAACATTGTGAAACGAAGGTAGTATTATATTTATATATCTACTTTATATTAGTTATCTATTTATAATTTATAAATACATAAATTATATTACTTATATTTCTTATCTAATTATATATTACTTATATATTTATTATATTTATTAATATAGTTGGAATTATATCTAATTAATTTGAAGTCATTCTATTACTCCCATCCGAAAGACCGAAAGCCCGAAAGAGGTACGAAATCATTCTATTATTTACACTTGTTTAATTTTGTATTAACATTACTTGAAAAAAAACTAGTTAATTCTCATTATAGTTAAAGTTAAACTATAATAATTTGATTGTTAGTAAAAAAAATAGGTAGTACAAAAAACTAGTTGATTAGTTAATTAGTTTTCACACGAATTGTTTAATTTTTCATTAAAGTAGTTAATTACTTTATTACAATTTTTTTATTAATTGCTACCTTTGACTCTAGTTTAAAAAATTAGTTAATTCTCATTATAGTTAAAGTTAAACTATATTAATTTGATTGTTAGTAAAAAAATAGGTTGTACACAAAACTAGTTAATTCACTAGTTAATTTGACTATTTATTAAACAATAGTATTGCTATAAATTTTGGTTCAATTCACATTTTTACTTCACATTTCACTCGAATTAAAGTATTATTTAATTACTAGTAATTTGATTAAAGTAAACTTTAAAATAGTAATTTGCTATAACTCGAATTAATATTTGGAATTTTATTTGATTAAAGTAAACTTTTTAGATTGAAGTATCATTTAAAATAGTTTTAATTACTCTTATTAATATATTTATTGTAATTTAATATTTGTTACATTATTTAGATGGATCGTCCTAGATTAGGGTTGGACTCGGGCCGGATCGGGCCCGGGCCGGGCCGGCGGTTCTATATAGCTGGACCCGGGACCGGCCCGGGTAGCCACCGGGTCCGGTCCGGGCCTCGGGTTTGGTTAATTTTTTTTTTTTTGCTTAGCTACCCATCCCTGACCCCCCCCCCTCACCCCCACCCCCAAACCCCTCCTAAACATCAAGCCCAACTCGGTGGAGCCCAAACAAATGAAAAAAACCAAAAAAAAAAAAAATTTGGCCCAAACTGGGCCCGGGCCCGGCCGGGCCGGGCCTTGTTATGGGTGACCCGAGCCCGGACCGGAAACCCACCGGGTCGGGCCTACCCGGACCGGTCACTGACCGGGCCACCGGTTCGGGCCGGGCCGGAACAGTACCGGTCCCGGGCCGGTTCCGGGTCGGGCCACCCGGCCCGAGTCCAACCCTATCCTAGATATTCGGTTGATATGGGTAACCTCGAGCGTAACCAAACGAAAGAGCTTGCAATGAAGAGATCCTGCAAAGGTAAATCACATATCGGCTCTTCAACTCAAAGTCGAGATGATTTTGATACGGGTTACGCAAGGAGAGATGGGGATGCGATGACCGACGAACAACTAGAACAAGAATTGCACCGACATAATAGCCGCTTTTTTCAAGACCAACCGAGGACCATTAACGAAGAAGAGCTCGAGGACAAGAACTAAACTGGTGGAAGGGAAAAGAAAGAATGTTCCCGGTTTTAGCAAAGATGGCTAAGCAAGTGCTATCAATGTCGGTTTCAACAGTTGCCGTGGAACAAGAATTTAGTTCAGCCGGCAATGTCCTAACGCAATGTAGAACGAGGTTGAGCGCAGAATCTCTTGAGATGCTTATATGCTACCACGATTGGTTGAAGGCGGCCCGTAGAGCTCAAGAAATTGACATCACCCCATCCCAACAATTTATGGATGAATCTACAACCGATGGTGGCTCTACCTATGTCGGAGATTCCGATTGATTAGTATTTCATATTGTATGTTTCTCTTAATTGTCAAATGTAATTCCTATTTCATTTCAAATAAATGTACTTGAAGTTTGTTTTTAATACTTGTATAAAACTATAAAATATAAATTATAAAAAAAATTGGTTTTAACCGACCCAGCCCGGTCCGGCGGGTGGCTCGACCCATGACCCGGGCGGGTGGCCCGGCCCGAACCAGACCCGTCCAAACCTCGGGCCGGTCCCTGGTCCATGAGTTACAAACCGGCGGCCCGAGTCCATGCATAGCCCGGAGTGGCAAGATTTTATTGGTGTATGTTGTGAATTGTGATCATTGTGTTTCTCACTCTCTCTCTATCTAAAATGTGAAATGTTATTGCCCATGATATTTTTTGTATCTCTTTTTATCATGAGTAAAAACGTTTTGAAAAATCAAAAGAAAAACATTATTTTTATTTCTTAAATAAAAAGTAATTATTGTCATATGGAAATACAGACATATACATTGACATATTTAAATCCTGAAAATATTAATATATGATAGTAAATTTTCGAGATGATAATTAGGGATGGACTGGGACGGGTCGGCCCGAGCCCAGCCTGATCCAGCTACTTTTTAGGCCCGGCCCGGTCGGGCGGTACCGGGACTGGGGCCTGAACCGGGTATAGGGGGGCTGGGTGATTGGGGGGTTGGGGTGGGGTAGGAATAAATTTGAAAAGCCATTTAAAAAAACTAACAATAGTGTATTTCATTTTTGGAAAAGATTCGAAAAGCCATTTTAGAAACCCGGGCCGGTATCGGGTCTGCAACCCGAAATCCTAGTACTGCCCAATCCCGGTTTGGGCCCGGTCCACCCCTAAATTGAAAATAGTGTATTTCATTTTTGGAAAAGATGCAGCAGTACTTCTAATGGGTGATGCTACACGCACCCCTTGCATTACTTAACGTAACCTTAGTTTGGCCAGTTTACCCTTCCAAATTTTTTTTGTTAAAAAAAGTGCTCCCTTGTTCCATATTGTAACTGAATACCCTTCAAAAATTGTACCCTGATTTTGCTTAGCGACCTCAAAATTTGTGTTCAGATTACGATGTGGCAATGAAATCTTTATTACTACATACGGAGTATAAAATACTACCAGTATTACTTTTTTATTTGTGTTTTGAGTTTTACAAAAAAATATCAAATTACACTAATAAGTAATAATGCATATGTTAAATTTCGGGGAAAAAAATTGGTTCGGTAAACGTTTGGTTGATATGAGTTTGCTATTATCTAAATCAAGTCTAGTCAGACCCGATCTATTTAAATCTTATAGAATTTAATTTGTTCAAACTTTAGCTAGAATTCATAAATTTCAGCAGAATCAACCACATTAGCTAGAAATCATAAATTTCAAGAGAATCAACCGATTCAGTTGATTTTGGTATTACCAAACGGGCTCTAATTGTTAAAAGCCGTCCGATAACCCCTATTTTCAGATTATCAATCTTATAAGTCAATGTTTACAAAAAATATAAATATTAATTTTGTGTATTAAATTTTATACTAATAAAAAATGAATTTATTTTTCTAGCTTAATCAGTTGAAATTATTTTAGAAGGCCATTTAATTTAAGTTTTTGTGCTATAATTTTTTCATTATTTTATTAATAAAATTTATTGTAAATATAATATCCGTCTATCCCATAAAACTTGTTCAGGTTTAACCTGTATAGAAAATAATAAAGTAAAAATGATGTGGTTGAATTTTATGTAGAGGAGAGAAAATTATATTTATACAAATTAATTAATTAAAAGAGGAAAGGGCAAAAGTTTTTTGATAATAAAAATAGGAAATATGGTAAAATTATAAAGGACCAATAATGAATGAATTGATAGTATCTGCGGTTTTCTAATTTTATTAAGTACACCTATTTCGCTCCTTAAAAAATTGAATTCAATCAATTAGAGTGAGTTAGAGTGAGTTAAGTATTGAATTCAATAAAATATTAAAGTAATATTATGTTGATTTTTCTAATTTGGAAGAATAGCATCTATGGAGTAGCATCTATGCAAATATAGAAAAATAAAAACAAAAATTGATAAACATAGATCGACACAAGATGGAAGGATATGATTGTCAAAGTGACAATTTTGTGGGTGCGCCAAGCAGTTTTGTCACTTTTGTGGGTGTGCCAAGGGACACCGACTTCTAATCTGGAACTGTTTTTATACCATTTCGGGTATTATCCCAAAAGACTAACAAACATGTATCGTGAATTCATGTTGCACGATCTCAAGCAACGCAGTAAAACATGTCATAATTGTCCTTAACTTAATATTCTAATTTATTTCGGTGGGTTACCCTACTTGCGCATGAGCAAATAATGACGTTGTTACATATAGTGTTTAAAAAAATTATTCGTAATATTTTAATTAAATTCCTTATTCGTTCACTCAAATTAATAGAATTATGTTCAACAATATTTTAAAGAACAAATGACCAACCGTCGCAATGGTTTTAACTTTTAACCACTGGGATGGGTCAATCAAGTCTCATACTTAGGGCCGGCCCTATGGGACATAACCACCGGGAGAACAGCAGGAACGACCGCCCTAGGCACAAAAAATAGAAAGAATTATTTCAATTATCTTGTATGCAATGTTTATAAATTCAATTAATTAATTAGGTTTAATGTTTATTTTTTGTTGACAATTTGAAAGTTTTAATACATAAGTAAAAAGTCTTAATCGGAAATGCCCAACCAAGTTTAAAAATGAATATACACTTCATTTTAATTTTTAAGTAGAGCTGATTGTAGGTCAACACATTTGTTGTTGGATCAATAAACACATATCTCTTCACATCTTTTAGTCTTTAAAGCTTTTTATTCCATTTAATTACAAAATTATCAATTTATACTATTGTCTTTGGGCAACCTGTGGCTCCGAACTCCAAAATCCCATCCCAATTATCCGCGATCGATTATGTCTCAAAAAAGCTTAATGAATTAACAATTTTAAGCATTGAGCATGGAATATTGGAAAAGATTGATTATGAAGCAATTATTGATGATTTTGCTTAACAATGTTCTACGAGAAATGTTTTAAATAATGCTTTTTTGTGATATTTGTGTTGTTATTTTTTTCATATATATAATTTAAATAAGTGGAAAATAATTTAAATATCACAAACTCTGAAAGGGTGTGACATAAGTACTTCAAACTTCCACTTGTAATATATATACCTCAAACTTTATATAAAAAGTTATGTTAGCACCATGACCATATATGCTTTCATAAATGTAATTATATGGTGTTAAGTACATAATTTTAAATACAAAAAACATTTATGAGGATGTAATTAAAATTAAATTGTACCAAATGTAATATTATTTATTTCACAAATTAATTCATAGAATGTTAATTGCGTTCTAACAAGTCTTAAGGTATTTTAAATTATATAATGATTCCAATAAATTTGTATTTGTAAAAAACATATAATCATGGTGCGAAAATAACTTTATATATAAAGTTTGGGGTATATATATTACATATGCAAGTTTGGGGTACACACCTCACACCCCATTAAAGTTTGAAGTATTTAAATTATTTCCTCCTTTAAAGTTTGCGGCTCTTGGGAGGGTGGCTGTTGCAGAGCAGATCGAGATAGCCTTCCCTTTCGGCCTAAGCCCTGATCCTCAATCCAGCCATGTCTGGTGGGCTGATCCCTCTGGCTATGAGAAGACAACCAGGTTCGAGGCGGCTGCACAACGGTACGCTTGGGGTGCCGTTGGTGATTTGTTCAAGGAGGAACTCTCTTGGGTGTCGAGGAAGCAGCGCCTGACGCATGGGCCCCAACTTTTGAAGAGGACACCACTCAGGTACAGATGATGTCTAAATTTCGAGACGGACAGTTCGGAGAGGGGCTACTACGATGCCGTTGAGGCCCTGATGCCGCTCCTCATCAAGAGGTTTGGTGAGCAGTTCACCCTGGCCGATCATACTGATGACATCTTCTTGGTGGACACTGCTGCCAAACTTGCCCGAAACCAAGCTAGGGCCACGATCAAGGCCATGGGAGAGGAACCCGAGCCTCCTACCGAGGGTGAGGAATATGAGGAGGAGGTTGAGAACGAGCAGATGGAGCAGACCCCTTCCCTCCCCATATTGTACTATGCTTTGTTCCCCTTGTTCCCCTCTTTCATTTGTACATCCCGGCCAGTAGCGTCGAAGAATGAAAACTCTTTTTTGCCGACTTTCATTCCTCTGCGCTTCTATTATCCTTTCATTCATGCCTGATTTTTTATGTAAGTACCGGATGACGCTCGTCTTGCACATGTGTTTATGTTTTTTCTTATTCACGATCTCGAGCAAGGTATTGGGTGACGCTCGTCTTTCACATGTGTTCATGTTTTTATTCTCACTTGATCTTGTGCAAAATATTAGGGGACACTCGTCCCTCGCACGCGTTCATGTTTTTTGTTCATGCTTGATCTTGTGCGAAGTATGGGGCGACGCTCGTTGATTACACGCAACCATGTTTTTCTTAACTAACGGACGATGCTCATCTAGAAGCTTGATATACACTATTTCCTAGTGCATAAGTTTGTTATTTTAGTATTGTTTGATTATTGTTTATAATAGTTTAGTTTATTTTGTGATGTACTCTCTAGATTTATTTGGTAGGTTGTAATTTGTATTTTTAGTGTGTATTTTGTTATAAGTACCATAAGGAATATATTCCTCACCCTCGGTCGAAAGGAAATGTGCATGTTATCAATTATTACAAGAATCAATCGATTAATATGTTTGTTATTCATTCGGTTCTTTCACCGGTAGTAAACTTGAATTATTAATGCATGCGCCTCATGTTTAAAAACTCCCAGATAAAGTGCACGTCAAAGCTCCTTGCAGATTCTTAAAAGATTGGGCCCTAGTGCATTTGGGGGCCGCTCGTCGCTTGTCCCTTTTGGTGACGCCCTTCTGGAAGTCCCTTGGTGGACTCTTACAAAACTGGGCCCTGATTCTTTGGACGCTTGTCGTGGCCAGGAAGGGAATGGGAGCCTCCCTCTATGGCCCTCACCCTTGGCATGGAAATCAAAGCAATGCGACCAACCATGGGGTCCACCCGTTAGTGGACGCCACATGCCATCTCTTGATTGGGCAGGCCAGGCGGCCTTGCTTATAAGTACCCTTGGTTTCAGGGATCCCATACTTGCTTTTAACTCCTTGTTGTTACGCTGCCAATCTCTCTCTCTCTCTCTCTATGTTAGCTTCCGGTAAGCCTCCTGTTCGGATCCCTCCTCTCTCGTAGGATGTCATAATGCTCAGGATCTTTAGTCTCGATAAACATTGACACCATGAAGCTCACCCGTAAGACTCAGAGCAGCTCAGCATCCATCTCCAACCGCTCAAACGAGATGATGTGGAGTTCTATGAATGGGGATGCCTGATAGGCCCCTCGGTACACCCTACATTTCACCTGCATTTGGCGTCACTGCCAATGCCTCTTCCGTTGTGACATCAATCTGATCAGCCAACTCATGCACCCTCCTCGGGTTTGGGATGCTCACCGGGGCCGGCCCTGGCGGTGTGCAGGGTGTCCAACCGCACAGGGCCCAAAAAATTGGAAGGGCCCAATTTTTTTGTAGTAGTATACTAGTACTCCCTCTGTCCCAATTTGATTTGCAAAATTTCCTATTTTGGTTGTCCCAAAATGGTTTTCCACTTTCTATTTTAGGCATGTAGATAAGAATAAAGTGACAAATTTACCCTTACTTTTACATTTTTTCCATTAACTTAAAGACATCTATTTTTAGGAAGATGAGCAAAAGTGTAAAAAGCAAGCATCACTTATTGTTCTGTCTTAATCCTTGTGTCAATCAAAGTTTGCAATTCAATTCGGGACGGATGGAGTATTACTTAGAGATGGTTTCGGTTCGGTTTTGATATAAAACCAAATGAATTACAAAAAAAATTGGACTAGGGCAAGGCTTTGAAGCAATCCTGGTTCGCCACTTCGCGTATTCCTCATCTACAAAGGGGGATCGTATATATAGGAATGAAGGAATAGTAAATCCTCCGTTTCCACCGGTGTGGGAATCTTACGCTTTAGAAACAAAAAAGAAAAGAAGTGAGGCATGCGGGATTCGAACTCAAGTGAAAATAAAAGCATGCACACTGATTTCTAAACATCACCCACTGGACCGAATCAACTAATTGTTGAAATAAGGACGTACAAACTTTATATTACCTATTTGTTCTACGAAATAAATAATTAAAAATACCTCTTAATAAAAATCGGTTCGGTTTGAACCGATTTTATAACTCAAAAAACCTTCATTAAACCGATTTATGTTCGAGTCCCGACTTTCGGGTCCCGTTTGAGTCGGTGCGGTTTCGGTTCGGTTTTTTTAACTTGTGTTGAAACTTTGAAAAGAAGGCTCAATTACACAGGGCCTTCATTACCTACCTGCCCGCCCTGATGCTCACATCATACGTCTTCCCATGCGCCTTCTTCCTGGCCATGTGGCCGTTCATTTGGACTCAGTAGTGGCTGACTTAAGTTTCCCTTTACATCCGCTCCAAGTTGAACTCTTTCGGAGGCTCCACATTGCCCCTGCTCTGCTCGTTCCGGCTGCCTATCGTTTAATTGCCGGCTTCATGATCCGATGCCATAGTGTGGGCGTTGTCCCCATGGTAGATTTGTTTCTTCACTTCTTCTGTGTCTCCCCTTTTGGCCGCACCGTTTACCTGGGTCTAATTGCTCGTCCTGGGAGGATTCTTTTTACCAAAAATTTCCCCAATCCGATGGTTGGGAGAGGAGGTTTTTCTTTGACGAAGATGGCTCCCCGATGCCCTTCTCGGACAGATGGAATGCTTATCCGGTCAAATTTGATTCTCCGACCGTAATTGGTGAGGAGTTAGCTAACGCCGCTCTTATTGCTTCTGTTTGTACCCAAAACCTCCGGATGCTCGTGGTTTCCTCCCTGATGGTGAAAGCTGGGATAGGTATGTCCATTCGCGGTTCAGGGGCTTGCTCTTGGTGTTTTTATGCATCTAACTGTATTGCTCCTCCCTTGCAGGTGTTTTCAGGCTCCAACTATGGGTCGTACCAACGAGATCCCCTTTATCCCTAGACCGCTTCACAAGGGCAAGGGGAAGCTCATTGTTGCGGATTGCGGATAGGCGGCTTGTGACGCGGTCTCAAGCCTTGGCTGATTCTGATGCCAGTCGTCCCCACAAGAAGCATCGGCTCGATGGATCCTCCAATTCGATAGATGTGGTAAATCTTTCTGATCAGGAATCGGTGGTCCCTCCCAAGCCTAAGGCAGCTCGTCCTCCCCCAACTTCTGAAACCAACATGGATCTTACCTTTGGGCTTATAGAGTTTTCCGGGATGAGTCCGCATGCCAAGTCCAGGATGCTGTTCGGGCAGACGGCCTCCTCCATCCGGTGTACCCTTGGCCTGAAGGTCCCTTCCGATTTTTCCGCCTATGAACAGCCTCAAGATCTGCTTGAGTGTGGCCTCAGTGAGCTGGACAAGGCCGACATGTACTTCAACAAGGCCCGGGCCGCCTATGAACGGGAAGGCACGAAGATGGCCAACTGAGGGGAGAAGCCAAAAACCTGATCTGGAGCACTAGAGTCTGTGTCGCTCGTCTCCAAGAAAAGGCAGATGTTTCTGACAAGATTGCCCGTGAGAACGCGACATTGAAAGAGAAACGCAAGTGCCAAGAGGTGGAGCTGCGGATGCTCCGTGCTCAGCTCACAGCCTTTGAAAAGGCCGGTGTGGTTGTTCGTCGGGTAGGGGCAGACGAAGCGGCTCTGGACTACGAGGCCGATGTCTCCAAGATCAAGGCTGTCGGCTCGGCTGAATTCCAACGGTCCACAACTTTTCGGGATGCCTTGAGGATTGTTGCCAGAAATTCATACCCGGTTTGTTGGGGAGCACTTGGAGCGGAGCAAGGAGCCTTACCAAGATGGCATCAAATTGCTCAAGGTGTTCCTCCGCCAGGCAGCGGTTCCTCGCCGAGTTGGCCGATGATACTTTCGCCAAGGGCATGGCCTGTTTGATCCAAGAGAACCTGCTAGTTCTAGAGCGCCACTTCCTGGCTCCGTTCTATCCTGAGGTCGCCGAGTTTGATGACATGTTGCTTGAGGCCTACGATGAGGCTCTTCGGGTCATCAAGAAGAAGAAAGATGTTATTAAAACATAATTTATTATTAATGTTATCACTTATCCGTTAACTGATGTATAGCGCACAACCTGTGCATAGCCTAGTCATGCGGCGTATTATATTACTAGTACGTATTATTAGAGAGTTAGTTATACATACTTATCTCTTAGTTTAAGGCTACGTATAGAAGTGTATATATACACAATATGATTGTACTCATAATTAATTCAACACACATAATCATATTCTTTACATGGTATCAAGAGCCTCACTCTAACGAGCCAATTTTTTTTCCTGGAGATTTCATCATGGTCATCACCGAATCCACCACGGTCATCTCCATCACAGCCTCCACTCACTTCCCAATCAAACTGACGGCAACCAATTTTCCAGTCTGGAAGTGCCAAGTTCATGCTGCCCTTATAGGGTTAGGACTTGAAGAATATGTTGATGGCGGTATCACTGCTCCTGACCAGTTCCTCGATGCAGCCAAAACACGGACTAATCCTTGTTATACCATCTGGTATCGACAAGACAAAACTATTCTCAGTGCTCTCATAGGAAGTTGCTCCGATCCAATTCAACCCATCATTTCAACCTCCTTCACGACGCACCAAGCATGGGACAAGCTCTCCACCACCTATGCCAGTACCTCTCGTGGGCGTATCATTATCTCACAGACATGCAAGCGATCGCTGATGCACTCGCACTAGCTCAAAATCCCGTCTCCGATGAGGATCTTGTGGTCAACATCCTTAATGGCTTGGGATCTGAATTTTCGGAAATTACATCTGCAATTCGTATCCGTGAGACCCCTCTTCCACTTGCACAATTGCAAACTATTTTACTGGAAGAGGAGAACCGAAACAAAGAGCAAGCAACCTCCACTCAGGATCTAATTCCCACTGTCAATGTCACTCACCATGCTTCTCGGTCAAATTCCCATGTTGAACGACGTACAAATTCAAGTGGTGATCGCCGTGGGGCCCCACCTCGACGTGGCAGGGGCTCTTTTAATCAATCCCCATTCCGTGGTTCTACGATGATATGCCGTTTTTGTGACAATTCTGGCCATGATGTCCGGCAGTGTCGCAAATTGCAAAGATTTCTTCGGGATCACAATGTTCCCCATCCATCCAGTCCGGCCATCAATCATACAATGACGTCTTCTTCTGCCGGACAACCTTGGCTATTTGACAGTGGAGCCTCTCATCATGTCACGTCCGATGTCTCCTCTCTTCCATCATATGCTAACTATGGTGGTCCCGATGAGGTTCAATTAGGTAATGGTAAGTCACTCTCTATTACTCACACAGGTACTACCGTGTTACCCACGACAACCCGCCCGCTATCCTTATCCAATATACTTTATGTTCTTAGCCTTCATAAAAATCTTGTGCCTGTTGCCAAACTCTGCAAAACTAATAATGTTTCTGTTGAATTTTTTCCGTCTCATTTTGTTGTTAAGGATCGCAGCACGGGGGCGCCACTAATGCGAGGGGAGAATCATCATGATGTCTATTATGCACCTGTCACCCGTCCACCTCAAGTTCATACGTCTCGAATAATGACTCAGTCTCATTGGCATCATACATTGGGTCACCCGTCTAATCGTATTTTTAGTTACATTCTCAGTCAGAATAAAAGTCACATACCTTGTAACATTCAAAATATGTCACATTGTATGTCCTGTTCTATTAATAAAAGTACCAAATTACCTTTTTTCTCCAATACAATGAATGCGAAGCAACCATTAGAACTTATTTATTCTGATGTTTGGAGTACTAGCACGAAATCTGTCAATGGATATTACTACTATGTAATTTTTGTTGATTTTTTTACGCGCTATACTTGGCTTTATCCTCTCAAAAACAAATCTGAGGTGTCTGTCATTTTCCCTCAATTTCACCGCCTTGTGGAATTTTTTTTTAATCTCCCTATCATTTCTATATTTTCTGATAATGGTGGTGAATATATTAAATTAAAATCCTATCTCAGTTCTCATGGAATTTCTCACTTCACCTCACCACCTCACACCCCTGAGCATAATGGCCTTGCGGAGCGCCGACATCGTCACATTGTTGATACCGGCCTTGCTCTCCTACATTATTCGGGTCTACCTCTCACATATTGGTCCTACGCGTTTCAAACAGCAGTCTATCTCATAAACCGTTTGCCTACACCGGTCCTCCAAAATGAGAGTCCCTTTTATACCACACTATCCCAAATTATTCCAAGCTACAACCATTTGGTTGTACATGCTATCCGTGGTTACGTCCGTACAACTCCAATAAGATTATGCCTAGGTCTCACAGGTGTATTTTTATCGGATACTCCACATCACAATCAGCCTATTTATGCCTTGAACCTATATCCGGACGAGTTTATGTACGGTTTGTTCCTAATGAATATCCGTTTCGTTCCCAATCCGTTGGTCAGTCTCCCATGCACTCCATGCAATTGCTATGTTCGGATAAAAAGATATATCTCCCTTGCACAAGTGGCCCTCCTGCTATCACTCCCTCTCCCCCACAACCCACGCCCTGCCACCGAATAATACATCCACTTTGTCAAGTGTCTCTTGACTCACCATATTACCAGCCACCTCACCCTACTATGGTACCCACCGTTCCTAATCCATCTTATCCAACTGCCCCACACATCCCTGCTACCCACTCAACCCATCCAGTCAACTCCCCCCATTTAATTCCCTCCCCCAGGCCACTACAACACCGTCCCCCCATCTTACCAATCAAACAAATACTTCACCTCCCAACTCCACTACGACGGTAACTTCCGAAGTTCCGTCTCAGCCTACCCACCGCCCAACACGAAACCGTAAACCCAATCCCAGATATCTAGGTGGTCCCTTTGTGAATAATACTGATGTGCACCCCATTTTACCTATTCTTGAACCTACGAGTGTAAAGCAAGCATTGAATGACCCAAAATGGAAAGCAGCAATGGACGATGAGATGGCTGCACTACATCGTAACCATACCTGGACACTAGTTCCTCGCACCGGTCAACAACCTATTACTTGCAAATGGCTGTTTCGGGTAAAACGAAATGCTGATGGAAGTGTGTCTCGGTTTAAGGCTCGGCTTGTGGCGCGTGGATTTCTCCAGCAACCCGGAAAAGACTATTTTGAGACATTTAGCCCGATGACTAAACCGGCTACTATTCGCATCATCCTAGCCATTGCTCTATCTCGGAATTGGCAACTTCATCAACTTGATGTGAATAACGCTTTCTTACATGGTTCTCTTACCGAAGAGGTTTACATGACTCAACCTCCCGGGTTTGTAGACCACACCAACCCACATCATGTGTGCAAGTTACACAAAGCTTTGTATGGTCTCAAACAGGCACCACGTGCATGGTACCTTGAACTCTCACGGTTTCTTTTTAGTGTTGGTTTTCGCAGGTCTCATGCAGATGCATCTTTGTTTATATATTGTCAAGGAGGCGTTTCTCTTTATTTTCTAGTCTATGTGGACGATATTGTGCTTACGGGAAATAATCCTACTGCCATGGAAAAGTTCATCAGCCAACTCACCACTCGATTTTCAGTCAAATATTTGGGGTCACTACACCATTTTCTTGGTGTTGAAGTCATTCCCACTTCATCTGGCTTGTTTTTATCCCAGCGTCAGTACATTAATCACATCCTGGAGTCATGTATGATGATTGGTGCAAAGGAGGCAGCAACGCCCATGTCATCAACGACATCCCTATTTCTCAATGACGGAACACCTTCTACGGATTCGAGTATGTACAGGCGGGCACTTGGTCTTCTCCAATACCTTGCCTTTACTAGACCAGATATCTCGTTTGCTGTGAATCGTTTGTCCCAATATATGCATGCTCCAACACACACTCATTGGCAGGCCGTAAAACGGGTTCTAAGGTATCTAAAAGGCACTCTTAATTATGGCTTATTTATTCGCCGTCATGATCCTCTCACTCTTACTGCATTTTCGGACTCAGGTTGGGGGGTCTACACGATGGTGGACGTTCCACTACAGCCTATGCATTGTATCTTGGTGGTAATATTATTTCATGGAAATCAGCCAAGCAAAAATGTGTGTCTCGCTCATCTACGGAAGCTGAATATCGTGCGGTTGCTAATGCTAGTGCGGAAATTCTTTGGGTACGGAATGTTCTCACTGAACTTGGAATTTCACTGCCTCAGTCACCGCAACTATAGTGTGACAATCAAGGAGCAACTTATGTCTGTGTTAATCCAGTTTTTCACTCCCGTATGAAGCACCTGGCCCTTGACTTCTTCTTTGTCCGAGAACTCATTGAACGGGGTCAACTCAATGTCCGTCACATTTCTACCAAACTCCAAATTGCTGACATTCTAACCAAACCACTGGGTCGACACCTATTCGAGACATTTAGGTCCAAGATGGGAGTCTCTGACGGAACCTCCATCTTGAGGGGGCGTATTAAAACATAATTTATTATTAATGTTATCACTTATCCGTTAACTGATGTATAGCGCACAACCTGTGCATAGCCTAGTCATGCGGCGTATTATATTACTAGTACGTATTATTAGAGAGTTAGTTATACATACTTATCTCTTAGTTTAAGGCTACGTATAGAAGTGTATATATACACAATATGATTGTACTCATAATTAATTCAACACACATAATCATATTCTTTACAGATGTTTCCTCTAATGATGCAACGCCGGACGACAATCGTTCTTGATGCGCTTGTTTTCTCTCTTTTCTTTGTTGTAATTGAACCATTGTTGTACTTCCAGACCGTTAGTGCTCAAGAATAAAAAGGGGGATACTCTTTTCTTTTTGCCCATTTGTTACCCCGTTCGTCCTCTAGACCCCCTCGCCATTCGTCTCGACTCAGCTGCTAGGCTCGGCTACAGACCCCTGGTGATTTGTTTGAGGACGGGATCATTCCTCTTGTAACATTCTCAATTCCCCATCTAAAACATTGATATATTTGTAACAAAACATCATTTATTGATAATGTAATTTAAGGAATACAACAGAAGTCTTAATAGAGAACAGGTGTTACCACCACATCCGGCCACACACAGCCGAATGCACAGGCAATCCCAAAACAAAACAACTATAATAAGTGATTAAAACATAAGTAAAATGTTTATTCTTGACTAAGTTCGACTAATGAATCTTTAAACCACTCTCTACGCACAAGGCCGTCTAATAAATTGGGATGCCCCTGTTCCAAATGAT